GCATAGCAGATGTCGGGTCGAGTTCCTACCGCCAAGTAAGATAGAGAACCTATAACAGACAGATATTTTCCGGTCATGGAAGGATCTCCTTCCGGGTCAGTCAAAGCATTGTAATTAGCTGGCAGGGGAGTCTTTGCTAATGACACTCCGTCCCATTCTGATTCCAAGATACCATCAATCAAGTCCCTTTGATAAAGTTGGAATCCACGATCCGTCCTTACCACATTTAGTCCAACAATTGAGTCAAGTGAAGAAGACCATTTGATTTTTAAGATGTCTTTCAGATCACTTTCCAGCTTTTTCAGAAGAGATTCATTTGAAGCTGTGACCACACCGTCGTCCACATGTAGCCATATTACACCGTGTTCTTGGGGATGCCGTAGGATGTAAAGGCTATTGTCGTATTGAGAAGGAACATAGTCGAGTTTATTGAGGACGTCCCGTAGATGGAGCCACCAGCATCGTGCAGCTTGACGCGTCCCGTACAGCGCCTTTTGGAGTAATAAACCATGACCTGCTGGCACTTCCAGTCCTTCAGGCGGCTTGACCCAAACCTCTTCGTCGATTGGAGAATTCAAGTAAGCTGCAACAAAATCAAAACTATGAACTGGCCATTTGTTAGCAGCTGCAATACTAAGCAGAACACGCAGGGCCACAAAAGTCGCCGTAGGGGCAAAAGTTTCGTTGAAGTCGACACCCGAGACCTGTGTAAACCCTTTCGCCACAAAACGTGCCTTGAATCTGACCCCTGACCCGTCGACATCTGGTTTGGTTGCAAACACCCAGCGCCCATTCAGTGCCTTCTTGTCTGTTGGCATCAGGCGGACAAGCCATACCCTCATTTGCTCTAAGTTGTTGAGTTCGACCGCTATCGCCTTTGACCAAGCGTCTTTTTCTGGTGATTTCATCGCCTGCTTGAAAGTTTTGGGGACTGTGATGGCATAAAAATGACAAAGCTCAAGAATCTTGTCAACTATCAGTTCTTGGTCATGGAATTCAATTTCCCTAGAGAATTCCCCAAGCTGCATCAGGTTCATAACAAAGTCCACACTCAGTTTCTTCGCGTCCACACTGAGAGACGGGTCGAGGTGATTTTCTGGTTCAGCGGGTACAGCCGAGTTGTTGTCCAAATCATCACCAAGTTTCCCAACCTTAGTGAAATGGCTGTGTTCGTTGTCGACAAAGCGAACCAGTGCGGAGTTGACAAAACGTTGTTCTGCAGGAATCCAGAACATCCATCCCTTGCTCGTCTCCAAATGTGCCACGACCTGGCCTTGCAACGCTCTAGTATCTAATTTCAGACGGTTCTCCACTGGGATATGAACATAAGCATAACTTCCAAAAGCTCGGAAACGGTCAAAGTGAGGTTTTATTTGAAAAAGAGCTTCATACAGAGTTACCTTCCCACTCGCTTTGTTAGGGAGTCGGTTTAGAATGTGACCAGCCCATTGGAAAGCATAGCACCAGAACGTCTTTGGAAGGGAGCTGTCAATAAGAACAGTTCTGCCCATGGCCTGGATTGTTCGGTTGAAACGTTCAATCATTCCATTTTGATAATGGTGATAGGGCAGCGCTCGTTCTGTGCCGATCCCTCTCGTCGTGAGAAAATCCCCAAGCGCCTTGTTGATGAATTCGCCACCGTTGTCGCTGCGCAGGAGTTTGACCTTATTTGCTGTTATTCTTTCCAGACGTGTAATTGTGTCCATAATCACTTTGTTTGAGTCAGATTTTGCCTTGATTGGTTTGACAAAACAGTAGCCTGATGCTGCATCTCGAAGCGTTAGCAGATATTTGCTGCCGTCTACTGCTTCTACCTCAAAAGGTCCAATAAAGATCCACGGCCAGGATCTCCATGCGTTTGATTTCACGTTTAGTAGAGCTTAGCGTATTTATAGCTGTGCTCTTACTAATGGCACAACTGGGACAGTGGATAGACCCGTGTGGTAATGATTTTGGAAGTCCTTCGCCTAATCCTTCCTTGATGAGTTTTCGTAGAGTGCGCAGTCCTGCGTGGCCAAAAACCCGATGCCAAAACAAAAGTTGTTTCTCATCTTTGGAGAGTGACTCTGGTTTCCAATGGAAATTTTCAATCTTCGCAACTGGCTCTTTAAAAAACTCTTCACTGTTAAATTTGGCTTTAGCAGCATTCATTTCTGGTTTATTGGAAGAAGAAGGAAGAGAAACAGAAGGAGCAGAAGAGACAGGAAAATCAAAAGATGGAATGCTTGACGAAAGGTTAGATTCCACATCTTTGGGATAGCAAGAAAAATTGACAGAAGAGGCAAAAACAGAAACACCCCGAGTTGGTTCGCCTCCATCACTGCGCAAGAAAGGGTATGATAAGCACCATCTATTTCGGGACTTGTCCAGAAGGCAGCTGAAAGCATGATCCCCGGCGTCATTGAATATTTCGAACGCATCCCTGTCATTGTCATACAGAACAGAAGCTTTAGATTTCCGGAGCGCAGCCATAGAGATTAAGTTGGACCTGGCTTGCTCACAGAAAAGTACCCCTCTAATGACGATGATAAGGCCATTTGGGCCTCTGAATTTTAGGTTCCCCACTCCGGTAATATAGGATTGGTCGGCGGTGGTAGCTACCGAGAGCGGTAAAGGTTTAGAAAGGTGACGGAAATTGTGGAGAAGAGAACGGGAGCCAGAGAAGTGATGGGAAGCCCCAGTATCAAAAATAACATTGGGACTCACAATATCCTCTCCCAGTGTCATCGCCCTGAAGTCCAGATCATCAAGATCATCCGGAATTTCCCCAATCTCCATTACCTGAGCCGACGCCCCCCCTTTTTGTGACTGTTGTTGTTGAGAGGAAGCTTGCTGTTGATACCGAGGTCGGTAGAAGTCGGCTAGACGCTTTGCTTGAGTCTGAAAATGAGAAGGGGGGGCAGTTGGAGAGCGGGCGGTTGTTGGTTGGCTTGCTGGTTGGATGTAGAGCGAGCCGACGAAGGTTGCCAGTTGGCGATGGGAATCCGCTTGACGATGAGGACCAGTCGACCCACTTCCTTTCCGTGCTTGATGACCTCCGGCTCTCTGTGGGCAGTCCCGGGCGTAGTGGCCAGGTGACTTGCATTGCCAGCACTTCAAAGCCGTCGCCGCGTAGAATTCAAGAGCTTCAGACCAGGTTTCTTCAGGCACATCAGCGAGGAACGCATCGAAATCGAAGTCTTCAGGGTCCGTCGACGCTTGCATGACCGACAGCATTTGAGGCCCCAAAGTCTCCGTGGGTTGAGACGAGTATTCGAGCCATTGTTTTTGGCAAATGTTGTAGTTATGTACGATGGCCTCGAACTTAGGAAAAGACTTCGTCGGGTCGTTCTGAATATCATTTTCCACTCGCTGTTCGAAGTCCTTCTTGAAAGGCGCGGCCGAGTGCATCACTGCCGTTTGGAACAGAAAACCGAAAACCACGTCTGAGCACAAGCGTCCGTTCAGACCCTTCAGCTCAGTGTACAGATCTCGCACTTGAGCGACCAGGCCGGTCGACGGTTCCGTATGCTTGATCGCCAGGCTATTCAATTTCCTCCATATCTTCATTTGCGCGGCTCGGGAGTTTGCTGAAATTTTTTTTTTCAAAAAATCATAGATCTCAACCGTCTTTCCAAGAGGCTGTATGTCTGGAACAAGGTCTTGATGAACGCCAGCGAAAATGACCAGACGACCGATCCGCTCAAACGTGGAGTTGTCGCAAGGATTAAAAAAGAAATTGGCATCCGATAGATGCGACACGCCAGTTTCACGGAGTTCTCGGGTCCACTGAGAGAAATTCGATCCGTCAGCAGCGAGGATGTTTTCTGGTTTCCAGCGGTTGTTGATATTTGACACCGTCTGGCTAATCAACTTGGCTTGCTCCAGTCGGACTTTCGCTGTTTGGAATTCTTGATATTCCTTATCCGCGGCAGACAGGGGAGCTTGATGAGGCGCGTGATGGCGGTACTGTTGAGCATGGTGATGTCCGCCAGACGCCTGATGATATTGGGTTGAGCTAGATGGTACCGGACGATGTTCTTCTTGCGTTCCAGCCCGATGACCATCGACCGGTTGTTTGCCTTTTTTTGACTTTTTTATGGTGGTATCCGCCAGTTGGGTCTCGTCACTGCCGTCCAGCACGGCATCGAAAATGGCCCCCATCCTTCGGGATCCGTCCGCTGGATCCAAATCATATTCCGAACCGTTTGTTGATGCGACACTAACCGACGACGATCTAGACCAGACGTTGCGTTCATTTTCGGACCGAGACATGGTGTTAATAAGAGGAAAAATTGAAGAGAGAGTAGGATATAGAAAAAAATTTGTGGGAGATAGGAGGAAGGGTGTGGTGAAGAGAGGAAAGAGAGGTTGAGGGAAAAGAGAGTGTAGTGAGGAAAAGAAGAAAGAAAGGGGAAAAGGAAATGGTGAGGGGAAAGTGAGAAGTGGGGCGGAGAGATGAAGATCCAAAGGAGTAAGGGTCGTGCGAGTGTTTTTCACCGGTTCGCCGTGACTGGTTCCCGAATTGAGTCGTAGATTGAGGTTGATCACTAGAGTTCGTAACCTTTCTGCACCGGTTCAGGGCCACTGAACCGTAATAAATAGGTGGCTAATCTATTTAGCGTAATCGGTATACTTGCTCTATAGACTTTCCAAATCTTATCGACAAGGTTCGAATCTTGAGTTGCTTCGCGAGTGAAAGTGATGAAAAAAAAAAACTCCACAACGTAGCGACGAAGCTAAGTTGACCGGCGCCAAATAGGAAAACTTCGCCGGAATCCACGGGTCGAATCGAGGATTATGGTCGTTTTGAAGGTAAAGTAAAAAAAATGATTTTTCTAATTATAAGCGAGAGTCCTTTAAGGGCTCATAACCTATTGGAACCTGGATAGTGAAAAGCGTATAGTTCCATGTCGTAACTCGACAGAGTATGACTCGGAGGTCTCTTCCGAGTCATCTCAGGTGCCGTGCTGCGGCGAGTCAGAGGTATGTAACCTCCATGTTACAACACTGAGATGATGGGGAAGCATGGCACTCTGATCTGATCCAAGATAGACCCATCAAATATTATTGATCTTTTTATCATTGATTCATCTGATCCTCATACTCACCTTCACAGATCCTCAACCTCAACAACCGCCACAGAAATCGAATTCTGTTGTCTCCTCTCAGAAAACCAGCCAACCCCAACGCTTTTTGTTCAGATCACAGCTCACTCATCCGGACCCCACTTGAAGGCAGCCCTCAAAGCACTTTCCCTTCAACCAACTGCCTACCGCCTGGCACAATAGGAGTTCCACACCGGGGCGCTAAATGAGTTTCTATTTTACCTTGGGAGGTAAAATTTTTCTTCCGGTTGCCAAATTCAGCAACTCACCAGCACCTGTGAAAGTCACCAATTCAATGACACCTCTGGTGTTTTCCTTGTGAATCCCAGATGACAAGTCATCACATATGTCACTCCCACCAGGACCCAGGAAACCCCCTGTAGACCACAGTAACCAAAACGTCAAAATGTATACAACCACTTTGACTGGCCATCAGATGTGATATCTGGATAGTTGCCACATCAGGACATGTACATACTGAAGGTGAATCCATCCCATAATCTTTTTAGTGGTAAATCCTCACCAGTGAGCCTTGAGAAGCAAAAAACTAAATAAAAAAAAAATCTTAAAAAAAATTCATACATTTTTTTTTGGTAGTTTTTCAGTTATAGAAACTCACTGGTCGAGGTTAGCCACTAAAGAACACATGGACATGCTGCACCTTTAGTATGTACATGTCCTGATGTGGCAACTATCCACATATCACATCTTATGTTCAGTCAAAGTAGTTGTGTAGGGTGAATATCCATTCATACATTTTGGTTACTGTGGTCTACAGGGGGTTTCCTGGGTCCTCTCCCACCCCCATTCACAGGCCTCTGGTAGGTATTATAGCAACCACGGGTGTTTGCCAGGGTCGCTTGGGTTGTCAAACATTAACTTTGCATTGCCATCCCATTTGGGATAGGCTATAGCAATCCGGTTTAGCTCCCCGGGTGGAGATGCTCTAACAATCGCTGAGGCAGTTTCGCCGCAAGCCCCGCAATCGGAGGGCCTGATATAGCCGGTCGGGCGCGAAGCGTCCCTCGCTCGCAACTGCTTCGCGACTTGCCACCGGCTCTATGGAACGGATGAGCCGCGAAACTCCCCTGCTTGCCGACAGTAATGATCACCTCTTCTTTGGCAGACCCACACTTTCTTATGAATTCTACCCAAATTCTCAAGTTTTTGGTCGTTCGATGTCGTGTATTATATCAGACACCCACGCTCGGAGGAGTTGAGAGGAAGTTCTTGGTACATAAATTCCTACGTGCTTGAAACGGAATCTTGCTCACAGCTTCCACGGAAGTGTGCATGCAGTATCGAAAGCTTGGCCGGGAGGCGGCGAAGGCCGAACCATTGTCCTGCACCCAGCTGCTTGCCAAGACTTCCCGGAACTGGAACCAATAAGAACCAATATGTGTTCCTGAAACGAGTTTTTCATTGATGTATTTGAATGTGCGGTGCAGATGAATATGATCCAGAAAACTGAGAATGGAGAAGTCCTCAGTCACATCTGAAAAACCTTCCAAGCGGTACATGGATGTAGCCGAAGCCAGTTGGTTGCCCTTCAGAGTTAAAAGGCGGAGGTTGATCGTTGGTTTCGTCCAAGTACCCTCATACCTACACCCTCCAGGTTTTTGACCATCCTTACCATAATATCACGGAGAACTACAAAACTCTATCTCATTTGAGGAATATACGAGGCTTGCCTGTTGTGCTATCCTTCAATCACACCGGTGTTCAATCGGATCAACTTCTTGTAACTGCTTTGGGACCCATTCGGCAAGAATCGATATGAAGCCGTTGAAAGCAATCACATTCTTATCACTAACATCCTTGGGATTAATACTCGCGGAGAAGTACGAGTGTCCATTCGAGGAGAAGACGGTCGGGATATGCGCCTTGAACGAGCCCAGCCGCCACCAACATAGGATATTCTCAAAAGGATCAAAGGGGAAAGGGAGGAGAAGGAGGATTCGAAAGTCCACGAAAGACAAGGAAGATGAGAACAGTCAATCAGAGAGTACGTCTAGACATTCCATTTAAGTTTTTGGTAGAGGCTATCATATCAGTATTACCTTATAGAGTTCCTGCTCACCTTATTCGCATTCTATCTGTGCCTTTCTCAATCAAAAAAGTCCTGCCAGCCGACCAGCCAGACGAGAAAAATTTGTTGATCTACGAATGTGAAAACAAGTCCGATGTCCAATGGTGTTGTCCAACGAACAAATTCATGTTTGATGTGAGGAGCACAATTCAAAATTGTCTGATTTACGTTTGATGAGAGTCATAGGCCTAAATTGCTTTCAAGTACGTGATGTAACTCATTGCCAGGACCCCGATGTATCGATGACCGTAGACACCACCTTGTTGGATGATAACTGTCGTGAGGGCAAGGAGCTCTAGCCTTATGTTAGCGCTTAAATCAACCCGAATTTTCTTCGATGAATATCGGATCTGTGAAGGAGTGTAATTCCCGCCACCTCGTCGGCCTGAGGCATTTTGGACCAGGCCCTCTGGCACTATCACTGACATTGTCATCTTGGTTATTAGCCTTACTACTCTTGCCATATCACATTCTAAACGGAATGATACCCGGCCTCAGTTTTCAATGCTTACATATGAATTTAAAATATCAACAGACACTATTCACTTCATATGCCTGGCTTACCTTCTCTTTGAATTTGTAACTCTTAGCACCACCTATAACCAAGATATGGTGATATATTCAGAGTGGACGATCATTCAGAGTATGTCTCTTGAAATCAACGAAATAATAGCAACAGTAGGATTTATCGTACAATTAGAGAAATTTGGCATAGATCAGTCAGGGAGATTTGCAAGAGTTTGTTGATAGAAAAAAATGCTGTTGATCAAACAATGAGACGGGGGAGAAGCTGGAAAAAAAAGCAGGGTAAAATCATACAAGGGGTGCGAAAAGAGCACCAAGCGACTACATTTACAAGCTGACAAGCGCTTAAAAAGTCGATGCATGTGTCGTTCAAAAATCCAACAATCTCAAAACGGAGCGTGAAAATTATTACAATGAAAATCTGGAGAGAGTCCTCTCACTAACTGACCAATTCTGATCGGAGGATTGGGAGTTGCTTGTGCATCCAATGTTCTGTTATCATTTTCTTGACCAAGCGGTCCAATATTTTCAATCATTCGGCCTTCCAGATTTGAGTTTTGCCCAGTTTCTCTCGAGCGGGTTTCAGTATCTGTTACGGCAGGCAGGTTCACCAGATGCGGATTGCAGAAATGCTCGCCAACCAACATCCGAACATGTTCCTCAACACTTTCGGAATCGAATTCGCGGGCGTACGGACCGGATGGTAACTCGAGGAGTGATTTGTTTAACATCATGATCGAATCACGGATTCGTCTGGAAAAGTCATTCAAGATCATCTTGGAAAATTCGGATTCGTCGAAAGGTTTTTTTTGTCTATCGCTTTGGTGGACGACGGGTTCAGCTTGATTAATATTTGGCTTCACATCCACGGCCACACTGCTACGGTTTGGATGATTGATAAACATGGCAGTGGAGCCAGAATCGGTGTACCCTGATCGGTGGGTGGGGTCGTTCATAGAACGCGTGTGATAAGTCCTTTCAATATATAAATTAACGGGATCCGCTTGTGCCGGATCGGACGGCCCAGTAATCAAGTGAGTATGACTGCAGTTCCCAAAATCGTTGGCCTTATCCTTTAAGGCAAGTGGTTTGGTCTGAATGGTATTTGCTCGTTTGCTAGACTTTTTAACAGGTCCAGATCCAATCCTTTCATCTCTGTCGTACTCACTCAACTTTCGTTTCTCTTTGCGTTTTTTGTTTGGGAGGGGTTTGCGGAGCTGATTTTGATCGAGGGTGGGTACTTCAGAGCTTGGTTGATGTTGGCCTTCAGTGGATAGTAGGGTTTCTACACGCCGGGTGTTTTCGATTGCTTTGATTAGAGAGAATGATGGGTCTTTGTGGATTGGTGAGACGGGCTGGTTGTCAATTACTCGCATTTCAGGGATTGAAGTATCTGCGCCTGTGGTGAATGGTGGGGCTTGTACATGTTGATTATCGTCGATTTCTTGCGTTATGGGCACAGGTCGATCGCGGCGCCTGGCCAGTGGTTCAGATTTGATCTCCGGTTGATGGTCATCGGTTCCTATTTCTGCTAGGGGTCTATTTTCGTACACCGGGGTTGGAGAACGTAGATCTTGGTCGATTTCTGCTGTTTCAGGAAACGATGGGTCTTTTGCTGGCCGGCGCAAGGTGGACGTATCAACTTTGACTTCAGTTTGCTCTACTTGATCGACATGTGTTAATTGACTGAGGCGCTGCTGTTGATCACCCTGGGACCTTTCAACCTCTTCTGCTACAGATATGAGTTGATCATCATCTAGTAAATCGTCCGATACTGACGGAGATGACCCGCCCAACAAAGGATCGATGTGGAATCTGCTGTCGGACTGAGGCTTCAAATCCGATCCAATCAATGTTTTGCCGCCAAAATCACCTGTCAAATTGGCTTTCTTCAAACAGAGTGATTTAAACTGGCCACTGGAAATCAGCTCTGCATCCGCGCTCTCTTTGGAGGTCACGCCTTCCTGAAAGACTTTACGTTCATCGGAGGGTAAATATTCGATGGCGGGGATGCCTTGGTGAAGGGGTACGCTTTCGCTGGAGGATGGTTCGGGTGAGGGACTGGGCTCATACATAAACTCGATACAATCTGAGAAAGGGAAGAAATCCTCTGGATCCAAGAAATCTTCATCCTGACTGCTAAGAAAATTAATGATAGATAATTACAGGCTTCTTCAGAACGCCAGCTGAACACCTAAATCCTTCAATCATCACTCACGAGCGTTTTTCTTCATGCAAGGACTTGTAGAAATCCTTCACACTTGGATGGCATTGAACTCGAGATGACTATAATCAGACGGTTGATTTTGTTAGACAAAGAGTACTTTGAAAATAATATTCAAATCGAGCATACTTTCCACCCAGTGATTTGGAGCCCCTGTAGACTTCTTGCTCTGGAAAGGGCAACATAGGCTTGGCCATGCTCGAAAATTCCAAATAAATCGACACACAATCTATCGAGAGTTTGCCCTTGAGACTACGACAGTGCCCAAACAAAAAAAAATAGTCTTGTCGGTGTTGGCTTCATTGCTGAGGTAGTAGAGAAATTATTCGACTGTCAAGCATATTTAACACACCTTGTGGATTGTAATTGCCCAAGCCAATGATAATGGCAACTGAGTACGACATAGGGTCAGGGAAGCATCTATTTCAATGTTCCATACGAACGGTTCAATCTACAGAATAGGAATGCATCAACAACAGCTTATAAATGATGTTTTTTTTTCTTGAAGATGTGGCATTCATTACTCACTAGCATTACACGGCCATCGGAAAACAAAACCTTGGGTAGACAGCTGTTGGCTTGTTTAGAGGACCAATACATTTTCTTCATGTCATCTGGATCTCGTTGTTGTGACAAGACAGATGAAAATTGGTGACTCGGTCTTTCTACCCAATCGATTACTACACCCCGTCTGAGAATAAAGTTCAAGAGTTGTTTGATTAGAGACGTGCACCTCACTCGAAAGAAGACATCAGGACGTACGATCCATTCACCAATTTGGCTTTAATATCTAGATTACACAAAAGCATCACCTGGGCCCCGATCTGAAAGAAAGTAGTGATGGATGATATGTGAGGATTGGAAACGTGATCGTCAAAAGGGACTGGAGAGAAATAGGCACCGACTTTCAATGTCAACTTTTTGCGAGCTTGCAAATCTTCCAACCGGGACAGACTGATTTCGTATATATAAAAAAGAAGTTAACACTGTTGGTGTGGAGACATTCAGCCGGGCAAGAGGATGTTTCACTCACAATGTATGAGCGTAAGGAGCGTTACCCATGGTCTGATCTGAGGCTGAAAATTCGTAGGGCTTGCTATCCAGTAAGCCAAACTGCTTTGCGTTCTCTGCGTGCACGTTCATGTTTCTGGCATAAAGACGAGTGGGCTATGATTTTTGGGTGAATGGATGAATAGCCAATGTGAGAACGAACCGATTATTAAACTGATTTGAATTTATCACTGGGGAATGGACATGCTGGAGTGCAGACTGCATACCTTGATCTCATGTGCCTCAAGAGGCTGGCTACGGGACACTGCAATTTCCTCAATCTCATCATCTACTGTGCCCCATCGGATCTGTTTTTTTTTTGTTCAAAGCTAATCAGTCTGATTTTTCTTCAAACAGTTAAGAGAAATTCCCTTGGTATCGACTGTTCACCTTATTTAACATGTCAATGAAGTGTTTATCCTCTTGTCGGAAAACCTATGCACAAATGTCACCGATGTCTTGATGAATAAGTTTGAACACAGGAATTGAGAAATACGGAGGAATTCCGCAAACCTGAGTAAGCTCAATCACTTGGAGGTTTAACTGCCGCCATGTCGGTGTTTCGAAGCAAAAGGTAGACTCTTTTCGGACGCGACCACAAGGCTTATCATCCCATTTCTTATGAAGAGGCTTGACGCATCGTATCTCGCCAGTGGAGCCGACTCTTTCGAATTTTGGACAGCCACAATACATGCAAGTAAAATCGTCATCCTTTGCTACTGGTGGTAATTGGAAGAAGTCCCCGGAAAGGATGATTTGAATTCCTCCAAACGGTTTCTTTATCTTTCGGATGGCCTGACACAGAATCGAGATTTTCTCAAACAGGTCCGGGTGTAGCTATTAGAGGGATATGATGGAAATATGATTAGTTTAAAAATTGAGGTTAGAATATTGTGAGATTTATTGAGTTTGTTTTGAAAGTTCATTACACGCACCATTGAGATTTCATCGACTATGAGCACATCTGTGTTCCAGATACGATTGGTGTCGGTGTCACGTTCGAATTTGGCACTTTTGTACTTCTGTGCGATGAGCTTGTTATACAGTGCATGGGCTGAGCCATGACCAAGTCCAACCCGCGCCCAAGAATGGATCGTACAGCCGCCGATGGCTAGAGCGGCGATTCCCGTTGGTGCAGTGACACTGACACGAAGTTTCTCTGACTTGAGCATCCGCACCACTTCATGCAGCATGAAACTTTTCCCTACTCCAGCTGATCCAGTAAAAAATACATTGTGCCCAAGTTTAACCTAGTAATTATACAAAGACTATTTAAGATTTCATGAACGCTAAAATGAGGAGAGAAGCAGATCTTCTTTTCGGTTGTAAACAAAGTGAAATCACACACTAGATCCAATACTTTCAGTTGTTCTGCTGAGCACCTCGGGTCTGGAGAATATGGTTGAGGCGGCGGTTTGTGATTTGGTAGAAAGTTGCAATCAAGTTCGAATGAATTATTGGACTTCTCGGGATGACGATGCAAGTTCGAATTGGTCGATGAAAAATCCAGCTTTTGTTTTGTTGAAGAAGATCCGAGCCCAAACTCCCTGAGATATTTTTCTCCAGCGGCGCGTCTATCAGCCTCCTGGTCCGCCCGCTCCTGAATGCGTGCCATTTGTTGTTTTTTTGCTTTGATCTCTTGGGCTCGTCTTCGATTCTCCTCTATCCGTGCCCGCATTTCTGCCGAAATTGGTGTCTTGCTTGGGGAGCGTTGGAGGCTTGTCATGCTAGGCTTTGCAGGCGATTGGATCGGTGTACCAGCGTCACATGAGCTTTTGGGTGACCGAGTCACCTGGGAGCTATCCATCTTGTGTCAACGTATTTTGGAACCGGCTTTCTGTTGAAAAATCGAATGAGAGGCTTCAGCAAACAATTGAGCCGGCATACACAAAACAGTGAGGTAATGCACATTGACCAATTTTTGACCAAGTGTGACTTTGACGACTTCCTGCAATGTCAAACCGTGAGCTCCAGGGGTACGCGCGTGTGTCTCCGTGTAGAAAGTCCAAGGAAAGGAAGAGGATATCGATCAGGCCAGGTCTCCCAGTGCTGTATATATGCTGTGTTTGCTCACAGAAATCTAGTTTGTCGGTCAGTGTCTTCGGGGAATCGGGGCTCACCAAATGTCACGGGTTTGATGAGGTCTCTGGATGTCTCCCGTGACATGTGCAACAACACGTTTGTGAAAGGCCCGTCCACTGTTGCAGTCAAGTTTTTTGTTTACAACTCCTGAATGGAGCAGACTACACTTTTTTAAGCTCCTGGTAGGCTTCCTCCTCTTGCCTCTTGAGGATTTTTGGTTTCCAAATTTGACTACAAGCCTTGGAAAATCACATGTGTTCACTTGAGATAAACTAGACACTTCTTAAATCTTGGCCATACTTGGCATGATCATGATCATCATATGTATCTAGTGGCACCTGTTCATGATTTAAAGGTCATCAAAACCCACATGGATTCAACCAAAATTCCAACAAGAAAGGAATCCAGGAAAAATTTCCAGCAAGGATAGGAATTGGGCAGACCTTGAGCTGGGCCAGATGATCAGATCCAAAGAAACTTTGTCCAATATGGCATCAATGCAAGTGCCCAATTTTATTGTTTTAGTGTTTTGTGATTCAAGCTTTGAAGCTGCTTAGCCCTTCCATATTCCTCATTTTTCATGAACTGAATATGTGTTGGTTCGGACTGATGACCATCCTTAGCATCAATCAATTATGTACTCTTTATTTCTATAACAAGTGTGTCACATATTTTTTTCCACTTATGAGACAATTAAGAGATGAAGATTACCACTGAGAAAATAGGAAAAAGATTATACCTGATGCATATAAATTTTTTCATCATAAGCAGAAAAGAAAAAAGGCTAAATAAACTCCTCTCGTTGCCTTTTTTTTGGTGGTAATGACAGGTTTTTTAGATGGTATGGGTTGAGAGGTTTTGAAAGTGTCGAAAGACAAAAACCTCACTTTTACAATTGAGCTGCAGCTCAGAATCTGGTGATTGATCTTGAACAAGAAAAATCTCCGTTGATGTTGATAATAAACTCTAGATCGATGAGGAAATCAAGAAGCGACATGCAGACAGAGTTAAATTAGGAGACTTGTGGACTCATTTCTGAGCTGGTAGTCATCTGGCGAAGGGTGTGAGTGACCCTTGACAAGTCCACTGACAAGCTTCTTCGTTGACAATTGAAACATACGAGCAGTTTGACACCAATGGACTTGAGCTTTTTAAAGGCCCCCGATCGGAGGGCCTGGTATAGCCAGGCTTGGCGGGACGCGTTCGCGAGTTGGAGAGGTGCCTCCGACGTGCCGGCGTCCCACCGGACCTCTGAAACGAGGGGATTGTCAGCGAGGCAAGCCGGTTTTTAGGACAGTTTAGAGGACCTTAAGCTGTCCCGGGACGCGTGGGTGCCGCCTAAAGTATGGCCAGTTGAACTCAGCAATTAGAGCCCGGACTGATCTATCGCAGATGCCGAGAGTGATCTCGTATCTACAAACCAGGCTATCCTGGTTGTTGGAAGGATGGGTATGATGTATCCACGACCAGTTGGGATTCAATCTTTCGAGCAGAGACATGGATTCTTTCCAACCAACCTAGTCCAACTTCATGTTGGTTACGATCTGGCCATTCCGGATAAGTCGCGATATTTTGGTATCTCGAGTGGAGGATCTCTCCATCATAAATTGAGCTCTTTGTCGGACGTTGGACTTATCGCTTTTCAGACCGTGCTATTTCCGGAACCTTTCATCCGATTTCTTCAATCCCACTTCGGTTTCATATATATTTATTTATTTAACCTTTTTTCAATAGAACTTGGAACTTTAGAATTTAGAATGAGCTCTAAACAAACTCGACCAACGGCCCTTGTGCAATGTGTTTTCCAGCTCTGGTTAGTAGCAGGAACGTATGCTTCCTATGAATCATTCACGTCCATTCCGCTGGTCGGAGTTCAATTTCCAACGCTTTCTGGCAGCGATCCGATGCCCACCTCACTGCTATCGATGGCGCCCAAGGTCCAAGAATCTCAAGAGGCAGAAGCATGTCCGTTCAAATCCCGAAGTTACGTCTACGATTATACCAAGGTGACCGAGCTACCGATTGCGCCCACCGACGAGAATCCATCCCGGGACGGGTTCACCAAGCAACGTTGTTATCCAGGCTCGGACCCGGAAGCCGAAGAATACTGCGTCTACGCGAACCCATCCTTTGGAGGGGATCGGGGGATGGTACTCTACATTCGCCCATCCTACTTGCTACAAAAACTGGACTTGTTTACGGAATTCAAGCCGGACTCGGCCTTGATAACCGACAAAGAGAGGGCCGAGTTTCCGTTCAAGCTTGTCCACATGCCCTCGAAAGGAGGGCTAGGAGCGGTTGCTGACCGCAAGATCAACGTCGGTCAGCTGGTGATTGTGGACTACTCATTGGTGTATCTTTCGGCCGATATCACGGAGATCGACCTCAGCGAATGGGCCCCAAGACTCAAGTACATGGTCGATCTGTTGCCCCTCAAGGGACGCGAGTTGTTCGCTAAACAACACGGCGTGGGCGAGATCGATACGGCCTGGATCGTCTCTGCATTCCAGCGCAACGTCTTTGCAGCTCCCCAGGACAATGACAGTCAAGGTGGCTGTGCCTTCGCTCCCGAACCAGCTGTGAGCTTCCTTTTTTTTGGTGGTGGTGGCATTAAAGCTCAAGATGATTCCAAGCACTTCTTTACTGATATGCTTTCTCGCTCTTGCCTCATGCTTTACATGCAGTGTAAGTAAAAAACGGAACTACTTTTTGAAACGTCACCCGGCACGCTCCTTACGCTCTTGAACTTCTTTTTTTTTGACTACTGTCCGACCCCCGCTGAAATCCTGAACAGATCTAAACCATGATTGTCGTCCCAAGTAAGTCCGAAACCTGGTTTCCAGCTTCCGCCTTGTTAAATCATTACTAATCACACCGATGATTTTCCTCCCTCTTTCTTTTAAAAAAGTGTTGGCTACAGATTCAACAACGTTACTATTCAAGTGGAGATGCATGCACTCAGGGAAATCGCGCCCGGGGAGGAATTGAGTATTTCATGTCAGTGACATACTATATTTTTATCCAGGCAAAAACAACAACAAAAAAGGGATGACACGATTTTTGGCAAGAACTGACGATGGAGATATATGTTTGTTTGATAGACATCACCCTGGTCCAATCGCGAGAGAAGCGACGGAAATCGTTGCACGGGACCTATGGATTCCACTGTGGTTGTTCGCAGTGCTCGTTGTCGGATGCCGAGAGCGAGGCTTCGGACCAACGAGTGGAGAAGATCCGGGAGCTGTGGGATGTGATTTCTGACTGGGATAGCAGTCCGCCTTCTACGCCGGCCATGGCTGATGAGATCCTCGAGCTCTTCAAAGCGGTCAGTTGCCACTCCTTCTTCCTTTCCGATATCCCTTCTACATTGTCACTGACGACATATATATATATATATATATTTAGGAGCGGATGGATGTGGTGATGGAAGAGCCTTACACGATGGCGTCCCTGGTTTATAACTCTTGGGGCTTGACTCACCAGGCCCGACAGTTCTCCGCATTGGCGATCTCCTATGGAGTCTACACCCACGAGAAAACCTGGCTGGAAACCTCATCCCATTTGCCATTGATCTATGATCCCGAAAGTCACTGGTCATACAACATCGGTAAAAAAATGGATGCCGAAGTCCAGACAACCCAAACAGATATCGCTCATTATTTTCATGTTGAACTGTGAGGCTTATGTATAATCGGTTATTCATCCTAAAACTCACCAGCAGAAACTTTCTTGCAATGTATTATCATTTTTTTTTCTTATCTGATACGTAATCTATAGAGACATCTTCACATTTCTTATTAACACACATTTAATGTATGAAACACCTAATCTTGAGATATGAAGGGCAGAGATTTGATTGGGCATCCCATGGATGTTTGAATTTTATAGATCCAATGAAGCAGTTGAGGAACTGAAATCAATTCCTGCTGTTGTTGTTGAACATTCTCAGACACTTCAACTGTGGCAAACCAAGCTATAATTCCGCCGAATCGCGGTAACAAGAAGTACCTAGTTCTTGATTTTAGTCTTCGGAAAAAAAGGATGGCGAGGAGCTTTTACTGATTGAAGTATGTAAATATGTATTGAGGACTGTTTTGGTTGATCGGATTGGGAGATTTTTTTTTTTTTTTTTTTTTTTTTTTTTTTTTTTTTTTAAAGTGTTATTGATTTCACATGTCACACTATAATCTAATGAAACCTAATACAAGTCTATTCAATCCAACACCATCTGCTATAGTTATCTAATAAAAATTCACCCCATAGGTCTAAAAAGTATTTTCAGCGATCAACTGTGAGAGAGCAAGTGTTCTTGTAAAGTTGGATGGGAGAGAGAAGAAAAGAAGAAAAGAAAATGGAAAAATTTGTAGGAATCTAAAATGTGAAATAAATAATTAACGGGCAGAATCAAGCAACTTTTGTGTGTTTATCAACTTCGGACTTTTTAATGGGGCATGAAATACTAAAGGGTGAGTGATTGTACTTTGTATCGGTCAAACTAGTGAAGGTTTTATTTGATTGGGCTGCTTTGATACATCGAAAACAAGCGCCACTTGGGTTGTCAATGTGGCAGTCTTTAGAGTTGTGTTTACCTCCGCATCTGGCACAAAGTGGGGGTGTCTTGCAGAAGTAAGCTGGATGTCCGAATTCTAGGCAATTGAAACATTGAGGAGGGCCGGGGGTGTATTTGGATGCCTTGAGTGGAATACCGTCGATGATTAAACAACCATGTTTGATGTCTCTGGCAAGTTGTTTGTCCTTTACATTTATTAACAGTGTGCCGTGTTTCTTGCCGTTCTTTTGAGGTTGACCTAGCCATCTAGTTTTTTTCTATCATGTCGCATGGGATATCGTTCTGAGTGCAGAGCGTTGCTAAGTGATTGTTGTTCTCGGTATCGAACTCTGTTGGGACAGAATGAATCATCACGGTAAAAGTAGCCCTTGGTGTTGTGAAATTTGGATCCGCTAGATGCGTCCAGGTGTGCTTGTGTTCTAATAGCCATCTCGCAATTGTTCGGTTCTTTGTAATAAACTTAACGTCACCCGAGGGAAATCGTGTAACGGCTTGGACTTGGACTGGAGTATTATCAATTCTGGCATTGATAGAACTAAGGGCTTGGTTGACATTGGTAACAATTTGCATCGGAGATAAGTTCAAAAAAGGTTTGACTGCTCCCGGCCGAGTTCGAATGATTGTGTGGCCTTTCTTAAAGCGGTTAATGTAGCTGTTTGGAGGAATTGTGGGGAGTGGGTGCGACATGGTGGCGTTTGATCTTGTTATTGAGGGCACCTGATCAGATGTTTGCTTCAAAGACGATGTGGCTGCATACGCGTACGACTTCTTCCCTTGTTTCTGAGGTGAAATTTGAGTCTCAGTTTGTATCTCTAGGTGGTGCACTGAATCGGAATCTAGAGTTCTTTCCAGTCGTTCTAATCGTTCGGCTAGATCGTCTAGTCGTGAAAACAATAATTCCATCGAGTTTTGCGGTGCTTCTGTTGTCGGGCTGATGTTGTTGCTGATAGCTTCAATTTTTTCTAGTCTGGTTAGGAGTGTCTGCAAGGTGTTGAATAGCGTTTCGGGAGTGGGTGAAGGGCTGGTTTTGGGACCTCCAGTGGCCGATTTATTGTTCTTCGCCATATCCTATTAGTAATTGCGTCCAAAAAGAGACCAGTTAAAAGGTGGATTCCGATTGATTGGAGAATTGAGCCAGGGCGGAGCTCATAAGGGAAGCCCAATGGACTGGAGAGATAAGAAGTCAATCGAATGTGTTCTTTGTAAGTGTTCCTTAAGGGTGGTGAGATTGTGGTTAAGTGTAGAAGCCCCGGATTGGGAGATGATGTCACAGAGCATCCCTTCGGGGTCTGTGCATGTATCGGGGATCTCTATGCACACAGATCGGGATTTTTCGGTGGTCGTGCAAGCGCGATCTCGGTTTGAAGTTCGGGGATCTCATGATCTCATCGAGGGTCATGTGATTCCGTATTTTTAAGGTTTCGGCCAGCTGGATGGTCAACTCGTGATCTCTCCCCACCAAGCTCCTTCTTCGACTATCAACAACAACCAACCAAAACAAAACAAAACAATCATGATACCATTCCTCAAATCATCAACAACCACAACAGCATCAAACAACAATAACAACAACAACAACAGCCAACATACTACAACCGCATCTGCCTCAAACCCAACACCAGTCTCAGCAACCACTAGCATCCCATCAAAAAATCAAACGGGCACCAGACTACCCACCTCACCCAGCGCACTCAAGAGTCTACTAGCACCCTTCAACTCAATCCCAACAACCGACCAATCCACCTTCCACTCACCATCATCAACCACTCAACCAACACCAACACCAACATCATCATCAGCATCATCAACATCAACAGCATCACACTCAAACTTATCATCACCCAAAACACCATCACAGCCCATTCACTCCCACTCCATACAACCACCTACCTCTGCCCAAATCACTACTGGCGCCGATCAGACCGGTGGTCCTCACTCAAATCTCATCCAAGCCAACAACCCTCTTGCCAAATATAGTCCAGCAGCTAGAATTCCTGGTACCAGTCGCATCGGAATCGACCTCGCTCAACGATCTGCCTCGCCTCAGATCTCCTCCGTAAGGAATGCTTGGCAGTATCTTCCATTCCTCACCAAACAAGGTCATTCATCAAGAACACAGAAACAAAATATTCTCAAAAAAAAAAACAATTATTAGTGCTGATCGAATTTTTTTCATTTTTTTTTTGCTTAAAATCTCAGCTACCAATATCGCCAGCTCATTCGTCTCTCATCATCTCAAGGGACCACCAAAAAAATCATGGGGAATCGAAATGACGATCTTCACCGCCATCGTTCGAGAGATGGCCAACTACACCCATCTCTCATCGATTCACCAACTCAGGACACTCATGGACTTTGGTCAGATCCTACCCACACCCAAGGACGGAATCATCACCCCGGTCTCATTCAAAGTCAAGCCCCACAAACTCACCGGGTTCTTGAAGGAGTTGGATCAAGCCGAGAAGGGCGACAGGATCTTGACAGGCGAATGGGTCGTGAGCAAGAAGACCTGGAAACGCATGCAAACCGAGAGCCTCGCCAGACGCTCTCAAAATCGCGAAACCGCCAAGGATTATGGGTTCGCTCAACCCACCGAACACCTACACAACTCCCATCATCAGCACGGTCTCGGTCAGGATAAGGTGATCTATTTCATCCATGGCGGTGCTTATTTCATCATGAGTGCTTCCACTCATCGTCCGCTCACCATCTCAATTGCCAAATACACTGAGTGTCGTCTATTCGGTACGCTTCTTCTCTCTCTCTCTCCCTACTCCCCTTTTCAAATCAAAAGCGATCTAACCCTCAGGGTCAACTTTGGACAAATAGCTATCAATTATAGACTAGCACCTGAGACTAAGTTCCCAGGTCCACTACATGACGCCGTGGCAGGCTACTTCAGATTACTCAATGATCTCTGTATACCTGCCCAGAATATCGTCGTCGCAGGCGACAGTGCTGGTGGAGGTCTGGTGATGGCCCTGTTGATGTATTTGAGAGACGAGGGATACCCCTTGCCGTCGGCTGCGATGCTCTACAGTCCCTGGTGTGATCTGACGATGAGTTGTGATAGCTGGGAAACGAACCAGGTGAGTCTTTCTTCAAGCGCGTTGATTTATATATTTTGGTGGTCTATAATTGACCTGTTGGTCTCTCCATCTCAGCCATACGATTTCTTACCCATGCCAAAACCAGGTCAGTGATCAGATTTTAGGTCATCATGAGTTGGTTTGCTGAGAACAAACACATTCCATCTCAGATGATCCATTAAATCCGGTCAAGTGTTATCTCGGAGAAGAAGGAATCAAAAAATGGATAACCCACCCTTACGTCTCACCATTATTCGGAGATATGCACGGCCTACCACCACTCTTAATCCAAGCTGGAGATGCCGAAGTCTTGCGAGACGAGATCACCCTATTAGCTCACAAAGCCTCCTTACATGGGGTCAAGGTGATTCATGAGATTTACGAAGATTGTGTACACGTTTTTCAGGCGTTCTTGTTTCTGGAATCCAGTACGAAAGCCCTACAATCCATGCGAAATTACATCCGACACGTTCTTCCACGGATGACGCGTCGAGCGGGCCAGCCCTCTGAGACAGTGATTGAAGAAACCTATCGACCGCCAACACGTTCGCCAAGCGAGGATGATGATCAGTCGATCTATGCCAATGGTGATCCTAATCAAGGTGCTGTCGATCGTGAGATCTCGAGGGATGCCCACCTGGTTGATGACATGAGCCAAACGATCCAGCAAACCCTTCCCCCGACTCCTGCCGTTCCAAACCTACTGGGCTCAGAAGAAGATGAAGTTTCGGATAGTGAGGAGGTCTTATCAGCAGACGAGGAGTCGGGCGAGGAGGATGAGGTGTTGGATGCGTCGGCCGAACAAGCCGGCCCAACGCTAGCCCACGAACAAGAACTGACAAATCCGTTCGCATCCGGTTCGGATAGTTTGGCGCCCTCGTCGTCGGTGAACCTTCCACGCTCGGCCTCCAATCTAAGTTTATCCCGAGCGGCGGGAGAGAAACGGAAGGTAGGGCTCTCCCTACGAGGGCGTCTCCCACCAGCCATGGACATCGAGACGATCCAAAACCTGATTCTCTCGACCCCGCATCACGAGTTCCCGCCGGAGAGTGTAGCTTCTTCTACAGTCGAGGAGCCGAGCGATTATCAGTCGCCGACGAGCTTGAAGGAAGATTTGCGCAAGTTGAACGTCAGTCACTCGACCGCCTCTTCTCCACGACGGACTTCCTTACAGCCCGCGCCGATGATCCCGATCCACTCCAACGCGGGCCCAAGGGCCTCCTCCTCCGATCAGCCCGCTTCCCCGGGAGAATCGCACCATGTGCGCAGACACAGTACCTATCAGACCGCCACCCGGCCAACCCACTCCCGCAAATACACCGCCTCTAACGTCGCCCTGCTCACGCCCATGGTGCGGGCTCACGACCATGGCGGACCCGAGACGGTGAATGCCGACCTTCAGGCTATCTTCCATAACCTCATCACCACCCCCTCTGAGCTAAGGACGACGGTCTACACTCAGGGCGATGATGAGGACGAAGAACAGGATACATACTTCCGGAATTTCAACTCTTCCTCTTCTTCGCAACCCCAGTTCCATTCCCATCATCATCATCATCAACAACAACAACAAAAGGAAGAAGAAGGAGGAGGAGGGTCTCCTGGCTCTGTCAAGACCCCCACTCGCACCGAAAACTCGGCTCCCTCTATTAATCAACTGAACTCTGCCATCCATCCATCTTCCTCTTCGTCGGATCATCTTCCTCTACCCTCCGACCACAATCAATCGGTCAACGAGTCTGAGGATCTGGACGATCAGCCCCCGCCTTCTCCTGAATTCGCCTTCCAAACTCCCGGCTATGGCTTCTCCTAATCTTCTTCCCCCCTTTTTTCCACTTCCCAACTCTTATCTATTTATCTATGCTATTTTTTTTTTCTGTATTGTTGTTGTTGTACTTTGTCAATTCTTCTCGGGTTGTGTGGAGAGTTAGATCATCTCTTCATTGCTTTTCGGCTCTCTCTCTTTAACTCTTTAACTCACTCTCTCTCTTTTATTTTCATAAATGGTGTTGGCTAAGAAAGTCGCATTTTCCTTGGTGGGTTTTGGGTATTTTGTGTACATTTTTAAAGCGCTCACTTCTGTATATTCCATATTCTTAACCTGTTCATATGTTGTACTTATATACATAATTAATCATCCTACATAAAACCTTTTTATGTATGTATTCGGTTCTTTTTTTTCCATTTGTAATCAGCTCTTATCTATTCACTTCCATCATTTGTACTATTGGATGTATTTATGTACATAAGGGGAAGTATGGAGGACTCGATTTTATGATTTTGTGATTTTTGGTTGTGATTTTCTTAAGTTTTAATCACGCTAGGGAACTGTGCAAATGCGTCCATCAAGTTACCAAGAATAAGATGATTTGCCGTTTTTTTTGTGGATTCAGTTGGTATATGCCGGTGCCCTTCAATCAGAGTACATATTTATTGTCTTTTCCGGAAACCTTGGACAACTTTTGTTTCGTTTCGTTTCGTTTCACTTGCCCCAAATTTACACCAAAGCCATATTTTTTTTTTTTTTTTCAAACTAACTCTGCAAATACGCAATACGTCAGCAGCAGCCTGCATGTGCAATGTAGATCCCACCTGACTAGGCCAGAAGTTCCGATGGATTTGCCTTCATCAGATTGGACGACACCAACCGGCCACTTACGATTCACGAGCTGGTTTGAACGCCGTGGGCCGGATTTGGGGGTTCTTCCCTCGCTCCGGTAGTCAGTTCCTCCCTTTCTTTCCTCCCTCCCGCCCCCCCCTCAACGCCTTCTGCAACCATCCCAGCCGTGCTATCTAACCAAAATGCCCGCGACTAGTCCCCCACTCACCAATCAGCTTTCTACACACGAGGGATCGTTGCCATTGTACTCGCGCGGTTCAGATGATGAAGAGGACCTCCCGTCTCTCGAAGTGCTAGTTCCGGAAATTCACCTCGCTCAACCTCGCATCAGCGCTTCTACCAAGCCGGTTTCTGCCATGATCAAGTGTGCGATAATCTTCAAGGTCTACTGCCCGAATAGACACAAGTCAACCAAGAAGGTCACCTGGGTAGCAATCCAATCCCCAAAGAAGTTAACTTACGATTTCAACAGCGGCGACGTGGATTGGCCCGCCTTCAAGGCCGCAGTGACACATCATTGCTCAGCGGCTACGGCATTCAAGAGTTTACCTCGGATCTTTGAAGATGGATTGCGATCTAACCCCCCAAAGATCACCTGGGGTGGTTATGTCTTCCGCAATACCGATTGGCCAAAGGATGATCCTCCGGCCATCTCCAACGACACCCGCTTTCCCGAGTGGATTCGTGCTATGGTGGCCTGTAAGGCCAAGGGGGTTAAAGGTGGTGTCATTATCCACATGGCAAACCCTCGGGATAAGGAGATTATCGCGGAGAAAGCAAACTTGGTTGATAGAACGGCTTCACGCTGTGAGGCTCGCGATCAGGACGCTCGCGCAGCAATGGCTTCAACTTCGGCTTCAACCACGACTGATGCAGCTCCAGTCCCTTCGATCTCAAACGCCTTGGAGGATGACGAGTTATCTGGACCGGATGTGAGTCATGTGATGCTTACATGGTCGGTTGCTTTATTGATTGCTGATTGATCATCTAATCTTGGTTTGTGTTGATCAGGATGAGCTCAACACTTACGAAGAATTCACTAACAAGGACATCCACGCCGAGCAAATCTTTCAGAAATACGCTCACAACACTGGGTACGACAGACTCCTTACAGCTTACCTCGACCCTGAGAACGCGGATCGATACATCCTTCTCTCTTTGGGTAATGTGGCGGTCTGGGCTAAAGCCATGGTGAGCCTTATCATATCAACTCTGGGGGGGGGGGGATCCATTTATCCATTATGATGAAATGTGCTTTTGGCTGATTGGGTTGATTTGTGATCCTTTATATTGATCAGGCGCGTGGAGACAGTGGAGTTGATCTCTTGTCACCTCCAGCCGGCCTCCGATATGAGACTCGCAATGCAAAGGCCTCTGCCGCCCCAGCGGGGGGGCAGTTGGCACCTGCACCTGAGACGCAGGCGGGGATGGTCAGTTTGGCAACAGTTAAGGAGATCATAGACATGTGTATGACCCGCAAACGTGCGGCCTCGCCGGCTTCTTCCACCGGGCCGGAATCCTATCCTTCTAATCGACGCGGCTCTCTCGAGGATTATCTCAGCTTTGCCGGGGTCCCCGACAAAGAGGCCACCTTACAGACTTTGGCTTATCATGGCATCAATCAGTACTACTTGTTCAAGCCCGATCATTTGACCCCGGCTAATCTGGACGAGTTGGGTTTGACCATGGGCACCTTAGCTAAGTTGCGTGCCAATGTCACAAGATACGAGCGCAGTCTAGCCGGTGGGTCAACTTCGAGGACGACTATGAACTAAGTAGTGGCCTCTTCTCTGACACAAGTGTCTCTTTGGGCTCCATACTCGTTCCGTTTAGTTCTAGCCCTCTGTTTGTTTAGTTATGTTTAGTCTCCACTCCTCTCATAAATGCTTTGCTTGCGCTTTCTTTGGCCTCTTACCTCTCGCTCTCGGATATCTGTCTAACTACTTGATCAACTTATATGTCTAACTGCCCTCCCTCCTGATCAATATAGTTAAACACAAATTTTATTATTATTTGATGATTGTTTTTGTCATCCTGGGCTTCAGGATGCCTTCGCTGGACCTTATTTGATTACATGCTTGGATTTGAAATGATATGGTTATGATTTGTCAGGTGATAAATCCATTTGACTATGATAACAAACATAGCTCACCCGTGCGATGCACCAAACAAATCAATAAGTGAGATCAAAGTAAGAGATCTAACAATGAGGCCAGAAGGTGTGAGATTGATTCAAACAGGACTAGGACTAACAGGGCGGACTCGCCAAATACTTGGACTAAATCCTTTCCACAAACGCGACATGATTTTTTCTTTGGATTTTTTCTTTTGCCAAACCCGGCTGACTGACTAGGTAACAACGACTGAGACTAACACAAGAGAGAAGTGGTGTGTGAGATGGATTCAAACAGCACTATGACTAACTGGGTGGACGCGCCAAATACTTGGACTAGGAGAGACTAGGAGAACATGATATATCCTTTCCACAAACGCGACATTTTTTTCTTTTGACAAACCCGGCTGACTAGGTGACAACTACTGAGGCTAACACAAGAGAGAAGTGGAGAAGTGGCTGGCTAGAAGATAGGTGAGCCACTCTCAGTAACCGCATGGCTAGCAATATATTTTTCTAAGCGTGGGACGCCTTCGCACAACAATCGGGCCATGCCTATGGTGAACCCAAGGGCTTTTAACTCCTCTTCGTTGGAGCTGCGGAAAAAGGACCAGTGAATGATGTCGTTGTCCTTCAAGCGTTTACGAGTCGCCGAGTCTTCTGGATCGACGTGGGCAACATTGAGGAACGTCTCAAAGTCCACTTCTTCCAAGCGCGGTTCGGCGGGGCCTAACGGGACCTTGGCTCCGGGCTTCGATAAGCGGGGCCTCTTCAGACTTAAAGATTGGACTGGCTTCTTCCGAGCCCCCTGGATCACTTCGATGTCAGAGGACATAAGCCGCGATTTGCCTTGCTTCCTAGCTGGGGCAACCTTGCTTGGCGATTGACCCAATGGAGCCTCGGTCGGGGCCTTGGGCTGAGGACGAGCAAGATTGAAAATGGTGTCAGTCCGGCGGAGGCCCGGCATGCCCCCATCACGGAAAGATCGGAAGGGAGTCGGGCTGTCCATCGGCACCTGGGCGCCTCGGTTCGTCAGTTCGGGGCGGGCAGTGGTGTTGGTGACCAGGGGCTCATCCTCCTCGGTTGTAGACAGTTGATCACCCGCGTTTGCAGGGAACTGCCTAGTGAACAACCCTAATTGGTGGGCACTTCCAACCACGCGGTCGTTTTGTTTGGGAGCAGACGGGGTGGAGTCCGTGCGGATCAAGAACTGCACATGATTCAGGCCAAGTCAGCATAAAATCACCAGCAGGATCAGACGCGATCTGACTTACCAAGCCGGGTCCTTTACTTGCGTGGCAAGGATCATACATGTCAAGTTTGAAGGTCACCTTGCTGGGGAACGCTTTGTATGCGGTACTGGCAAAGTCGAGAAAGTCTAGATGCCCATGAATTCGAGCGTACTTGTGCTCGGGGTATTTCAGATCGCCAGCAATCCAAGCATGCCATTTGAGCTCGCGGAAGTCGTTCGCGTCGGACAAGACCTCCAAGATCCAAGGCTGGTGGCCACCAAGGTGGGTGGTGGCTTGGGATTGGAATTCGTTCCAGGTCATGGCCTGCATGTCAACAACCAAAGGAGCAAGGGCGACCTTGGGTGACACTTTAGCCCATGGATGGGTTGTTTCGACGATATGATTGAGCTCCTCGACTGCCGGTTTAACATTCCTCACATAGACCAGGTAGTCGAGGTGTATGGGAGCGGTACGTGGGGTAGCATGAACTAACAATTCTTCAGAGATTTGGGTCTCCTCACAGAGGACATTAGAGTTAGAGTTGGGGTTGCTGGTAGTAGGAGCCATCGTTGAAATCCGTAGGTGTTGGTTTAAAGACGTATGGTAGGCAAAGTGCAGCAATAGATTGAGCGTGACCAATGATGACAGACAGAGAGC